GAGGGGCTGGGCTGGGAGAGAGCTAGAATGTTAGGATGGACATGGAGGTGACAGGCTGTGCCGAGTGTCGGGTGTCTGGGATTATCCTGGGTTTCTGGTGCGCAGGTGGGGCCCAGAGGAGCAGCGGGTCTGGGAGGGGAGAGGGTGCTTTCTGTTGGGCAGCGTGAGAGTGAGATGCTTCGGAGCCATCCAGGTGAGGTGCTCAGGAGGCAGCTGCACATAGGGGACCGGAGCATGGAAGAGAAACTAGCTGGAGGTGGGTGAAAGCGCCCATAAAAGATATGGCATGAGAGGCTGGCAACAGAGCCCTGGGGGGTGAGAGTTAAGGCCCCAGACACTCAGGGGGATAGGAGCCAGAGAAGGGGCAGAAAGAGAGGAGCAGGATCCGAGGCAGGTCCACGGTCGGGAATGCCAAGGAAGGGAGACGCAGGGCAGGGAAGTAGATGTTGCCACAAGCTCCTGCCCCACCTGAAGGGTCTGGATGAGGCCCTGGCCGGGAACCTCCCACCAGCCAGAGTGACTTGTGCCCTTCATTGGAGACTCCCAACCCTGTGGGACTGCCTGGCACTTAGACCTGGAGCTGACTTGGGTCTCAGGCCATTACATCTTGGGGGTCACTGTCCCAGAGTAGAGGCAGGAGAGAGCCCTGCAGGTCACCTGCGAGGGGCTGGTCGAGAGGCCATCCCTGCGTCCGTTGTAAATATACACACTGCCGAAGCTGGTGCCATCATCTGCCCCCAGGCCCTCCAGGGGAGCCCCGATGGCCACATCTGTGAGACTGTCCTCACTGATGTCCCCCACTGTGGCCATGGCGAAGCCAAATCGAGCGTCAGTGAACCCAGGCTGCCCACTCAGCGTGCGGGCCAAGGAGAAGGAACCGTCCTGCAAAGCAAACAGGCAGCTCAGCCCTCAGGACGGGGCTGCCGGGCGCCCACCCCATTGCCACCCTAGGAGGCGTGCTCACTGGACTTGGCCATTCGGATTCTCTGGCAGGGAGTCTGAGGCTCAGAAAAGGAAAGGACTTTCCCAAGGTCGCACAGTGAGCGAGAGGTAAAGCTGGGGTCCTGCCTTGCAGCTCAGGACCAGAGCCTGCTCCCACAGTTAGCGGGACAGGACTGGCCATTGGGAGGCCTGGGTTCTAGTCTTGGCTCTACCCCACATTTGCTATGTAAACTTGGACAAGTTTTAACATCACAGCTTCCTAACCTGTAAAGTGTGAGTGACAGCTACTCCCACAGTTACTAGAAAAACAGGCGAGGTGATAGACAAAACCTGCTTTGTCAATCGTGCTGCTACTGGGGATGCTATCACCACCAATATGAAACGATGAGATGGGGAAAGTGAGAAAGTGGGGTCCAGGAAAGCGTGGAGCCGCTGTCCACCTGGCTGCCATCCACCCTGAGCACCTCCCCATTGCTGCAAGGCAGGGCCAGGGCAATCCCAGCCTCCCTCCCCTCTACACCAGGCTGAGTGGCCACAGCCCCTGTGAGCCTGCGAAGATGGAGACTCTCCCACCTGCCCATTCAGACGGTACACGTAGACTCGGCCTTCCTGTCCGTGAACGTGGTAAAACGGAGCAGCCACCAACAAGAAGTCCGTGGTTCCATCCATGTTGATGTCCATGGGACACAGCTCAGAGCCAAAATAGGACCCCATCTACAGCCCAGGAAGAGCTCGATTCACAGGGAGCTCTGGGGAGGCCCCTCCCCGACCCCTCTGCATGGCCAGACCCCTGTTTCTACTCTTCCTGGGCCACCAGCTTTGGCTCATTCCAGATCAATCTGTTCACCAGAGTAACAGAGGACACTGGAAGAGCAGCCTGACCACCCCCGCAGTGGGGAGCCCCCAGCAATCAGACATGCGGAGCCAGGGCAGAGGCACTGAGTTCTGCCCAGGCTGGGTCTCTAACTCACTGTGTGCCCTGGAGCCCATCCCTTTCCCTTGGGCCCCTGGATTCCCGTCTGTTGTAATGGATGGGGCCCCGTGGTCCTTCCCCAGCAGGCACCTGCTCTCCCTCCAGCACTGGCATGAAGTTGGTCCCTCTGCTCTCCTTCTGCAGCTCAAACACGGCACCTCGCTGCTTGTGCCGGGGAGCCCCCGCCACGTAGGAGAGGCCACGGACCTTGTGCAGCACGGCCACCGAGTATCCTGCGGCAGGGGTGGTGTGGTCGTGGTCAGGAGCTCGCCCAGGCCACGTCTCTGCCCCCCGCCCCCTGCCACCTTCTCAGCCAGGCCTTCAAAGTGGCCCGGGCAGGAAGACAAAATAGGAGACTGTCCTCATCTTTTTAAAACTTGGCTTCAGGGGGCTCTCCCACTTACCCACTGTTGCTGGCCACACACATGTGCCTCCCACACAGATGTGATGTGCACACATCATCATGTGTACAGCTTCACTCAAAATATACCCATTCGCACACCCAGTATATAAGACTGAGGTGAGAGGTGAAGGGTCACCCACCACTATCATTCATGGTGAGGCCCCACCTTCCCTAGGCAGTCATCCAGGGCCACCCCACGAACTGAGTACCGAGCAGACCCTGTCCCCTCCCAGAAGGCCCTAATTTTCAGCCTCCAAGTCCCTAACCAGGCCCATCCTTCAGTCCAGGTGACCAACCTGGGCCATTCCCACCTAGGAAGCTTAGTGCAGCCTAAGGTGAAACTTCAGTGACCCTGCCTAGGCCCTGCCCTCACCCAGGTGGTCTCTAGGCTCCACCCTCACCCAGGTGGTCTCAAGGCCCCGCCCTCACCCAGGTGGTCTCCAGGCCCCGCCCTCACCCAGGTGGTCCCCAGGCCCCACCCTCACCCGGGTGGTCTCTAGGCCCCGCCCTTACCCAAGTAGCTGTGCTTTTCTGCCTTGGTATCCACCACCGTCTGGTTCAAGAAGTGGCCCCGGGGGTGGCGGCGGCTGTACATGTCATAGAGCAATACGCCCCCAGACCAGTCGAAGGCCCCGACAGCACCGAGCAGCACCTGCCCCTGCAGGGGACAAGGGTTGGAGGCCATCTGAGCTGGAGGTGCCCAGGACCAGCCATTGTGGCCTCAGGTCTACCAGCCAGCACAGCGAACCTTGTGATGGGGGGGAAGGGGACATTCCAGGCCCCGTGCCCACCTGGCCAGAGATGCAGGAGGAAGGTGAGATGGCAAATACTGGGTTCCTGCCTTGTCCCCTGACCCTGTCAGAGGAGCCGTCCCTCTAACACCAACACCTCCCAGAGCAGAAAGCTGCCAGGGCCCGGGTGTGAGGCACTGAAAAAGTATGACTGAGAAGACAGTGCTCTTCTTCCCCGCAGGGTGCCCCGCCTGGCCTGGTACACAGGCCCACCCGGCTTGAGTGGCAGCTCTACCACGCACGAGGGCCATGTCCTCGCTGTGGCTGCATCTCAGCTCCCCTGCGGGAACAGTGCCCCTGGGAGAGAAGCAGGCAACTCGGCAAGCTGGCCCAGGCCAAAGCCTGCTACTAGTCTGTATTTTCGGAACTGCTCAGTCCTTGAGCACACAGGACGAGACAACCCCTATATGAACATGGCCACTCTTTTGTCTACCTCAGAGTCCAGACTAGGGCGAGCAAGCAGAAGTGTTTTCTGTTATACCCACAGCTCCTTCAGAGGCATCACCGCAGGAGGCAGAGCCCTGCACTGTGGCCAAGGGTCCCCGAGGTCCTGGGTGTCACTGGGGGCCTCCTCCATGGCGAACCTGCCTCGTGCTGAGTTGGCCACGTACCTCATCCAGGATCTGGGCGCTGAACCCGATCTGTGCCAGCTCGAAGTGGAGGGCTTCTCCGACCGTGCCTGGAAGCCAAGAGGCCCAGTGAGACACTGCTCTGGGCAAGGTGAAGGGAGAAACCGAGCCGGGGAAGGGTCCAGCCTGGCCTGGCTCCTGGACGGAACCAGGTTTGGTTTGATGGGACGAGCACCAGGCTTAGAGACATGGGTCCTGCTTTAGCAGCTACTGGAAGAGAGCCTGGGGAGTTCCCTCCCTCTTCAGGGCCTCGGTTTCCTCATCCGTGAGCTCCTGGGAGCAGGAACCACGCCCCGGTCATCCTTCTTCCTCCAGCACCAGGTCAGTTCATCAGAGCTTCATGGAGATGTGAGAAGTGCAGAGGTCTGGGAATATTGTCACCTTTTTAGGCATGGAACAGCTGAGGCTCAGAGGTGACAGGAGTTGCCCTGAGTGCCACATGGAGGTAGGCCAGGGGTGGGGCTGGAGGGCAGGGCTCAGACCTCCTGCTCAATGCCAAGGGGGCAGCCACAGGGTGGCTGAGGCACCTGGAGCCCTCACCTTCTATGCGAATGATTCTTTGTTGCAATTGGCTCAGCAGCCCATCCAGTGCCGCGTAATTGGTCACCTTGAAGGCATGGGTCTCCTTGGGGTCCGAGGCGATCAGCTTCAGTTCATCTTCAGTCTTCTTCTTTTTAAATGCATCTCCCACCTGCATAGAGGCCCCGGATCAATGGGTCAGCACCATGAGGGCTGGCTGGTTCCTGAGCCCCGAGGTCTTTCCAGGCCCAGGGAGAGGGCTGAGCCTCATCACCTGGCCTTCAGGAACTCCATCACTTGCCCCCTACTTTCCCTGCTTCCTGTTCTCTCCCAAACACACAGTTTTACCAAACTACATGTGCTTTCCTGAACACACCAGGCTCCTTCTCACCTCTGCACATGCTGTTCCCTCTGCCTGCAGAGCCCTTCCCTCCTCCCCAGTTACTCCTGTCTGACCTCCAAGACTCAGCTCAGCACCATCTCCTCCAGGACCACCTCTACCCCCAATCCCACCCCCACCCCGATGTCCTTCCTGCGGGCTCCCAGAGCAACTGCTGCTCTCCCCATCACTGCTGGGCAAGTGAGCTAGGGCCACATTGGGCAACGAGCCTTCTATGGGAAGACCCAGTTGGAAGTGGGAGTGGGAGTGGGAGTGGTGCACGGGACATGGGGCCTGGGCGAAAAGAAGTTGGTGAGTGGTTGTGAACAGAACAGGGTTCAGGTAAGCCACTTACAGAAGCCCTTACCAGGAACCCTGGCTCCTCCCCACCCCAGGCTATACGGTAGGGTTAGGAGGTGATCCCCTGCTCCTGGCTCTTACCCCAATGGCAAAGCGCTGAACACCTTGCATCTTCGGGGAGTTGATGACAGTCGTGAGGTTGAGGGGGTCCTCGAATATGTCCCCATCAGTGAGCACCACCATGACCTTGGATGCCTCTTTTCTAGAGCCGTGGCTTGGTGAGAAGATGTTGTCTCTAAGTTGGGGAGAGCAAAGGAAGTGGAGGACTTTGCCAGAGGGATGGCTGAGCTTGCGGGGGTTTTATTCACAAACCTGTTTTAGAATTGGAAAGGACTAAGGAGCCCTCCCAGGGGAACAAAGGCCCAAGGAGGGGTGGGGACACCTCTACAGCACTGGCAGGGCTGGTGGGGGTGGGGAGCCTGCTCCCATTGGAAAGGTGCTGGATAGCACAAGGAATAGATTCGTGTGGGAACAATGACATTAATAACAGTGGCTGAGATTTACAAAGCACTATGTGCCAGGCACTGTTATACATATTTTAACCCATTTAATCCTCGCAAAATCCTCCAAGGCAAATGCTATTATTATTCTCATTTTAAAAGCAAGAAGCCACGCACAGAGAAGTTAGGTACCCAGCGTCTCCAAGTGCAAACTGGAGCTGGGATGTGGACCTAGGCAGCCTGGCCACTGAGCCCAGCCCTGTCTGCACTGTGCTCTATTGCCTCTCACAAGAGGAGTCTTCCAAAGAATTTGGGGGGGGACTGTCCCGGGGTGTCATTCATCAGCCAAGGCTGGATTGAAAGACCTCACATTCCCCTTTCAGCAAAGGAAGAGCTAGAATCCTGACCCTCTCCTTTTTACAGTTCTGTCCATCCACCTCGCCAGGCATGATGCCTCAAAGCCTCCGGGCAGGGACGCCAGCCAACAGCCAGCAGGTGCTCAGGTGATTCTGCTTCCCTCACACTCACAGGACATGCTGCATGGCAGAGGCTGTCTTGGTGACACTCTTCACTTGTGTGATGTTCTGGACTTTGCTGAGGGAGGCCATGACATCCTGGCTGTATTGAAGGTCAAACTCAGTCTGGATCACTCCTCCGTACTGCACCAGGGCAAAGCTGCACTGGAGGGAGGGACCAAGGGGGGAGGAGGTTGGCAGAGTCACCATGCCCGAGGCCCAAGCTTGAATGGCTCCCTCTGGAAGCTGCAGAAGGATCCACTCATTCCTCCTCGTTTACTGCAAGAGGAGATGCCAAGGCAGAGGGAAATCTCTAAGAAAGCAGGGCTGGAGGAAGGTGTGACAGTGATGGCTCCCGGGGGGTCACAGACTTCTCCCTGAACCCATGTCCTTGTAGAGGCCCTCTCCCCTTCATATTCACCATGTGACTTTCTTTGGCTGTTGGGATATCAGCAAATGACAGACAATCAGAGACATGAAAAAGTGCTTGTGTGCATTAGGTCTTGGGATGTTGCAGCCATGAAAATGTTGGGCTGACCTGCTGGAGACACATGGCCAGACACATGAGGCCATTTAAGGCCATCCAGTCACAGTCAAGCAACCAGATACCTGCAGCTGCAGGAAAAACCTTCAGTCAAGACCAGCAGAAGAACTGCCCAGCTGAGCCCAGCCCAAATAGCTGACCCACAGAACTGGGAGCAGACCAGTGGTGGTTGTTTTGAGGTGGTTTGCTCACAGTGATGGATAGCAATGGACTGGGTGAGCCTAGCTCCTGGGGAAGCTCACCTCAAAGCACTTCTCGTAGATGTTCCTCATCATGTTAGAGATGAAGTCTTTGGCTCTCTGGAAGTCTGGGGGATCAATGCTTCCTGAGCCATCCAGGAGGATGGCGATCTCGGTGCCTGGGCCAAGACAGGGAGCAGGTCAGGAGTGGGCATGGGGTTTGGGGCTGGAGCGAGGGCTGCATGTCCTGCCCTGTAGGGTACCCACTCCATTCAATCCCCAAGGGCTCTCAGTTCAGGGAAGAAGTCGGTGAAGCTCTCTTTGTCTCAGAGGCAGAGAGAGAGCTAGGACCTGCTCAGGCTCTGACTCTGTGAGTCAGTCCCATCACTCCCACTCTCTGGGCCTCAGTTTCCCCATCTGTAAGATGGAGGGGGCAGAGCTGGGGCTGACTGGGCCTGTAGAGTCCAGCCGGTAGAATCCAGCCACTGCTCTCCATGTCCCAGACCTAGGCACCTCTCACCCCTGGAGGTCGCCAGCCTAGGCATCAGTTCCGAGGGCCTCTGGGAGGAACCTAAATCTGCCTCTTCTCACCCGCTCCCTCCTCCTCCTCTGCTTCCTCCTTCGCCTTCAGAGACCGGCGCTGCCTGGCAGTGCTCCCCGTGCTGCCGTTTTTGTTCCCGTAGCAGTCACCAGCATCCACATGCGCCTTGGGATCCAGGAGATTTTCTTTAAAAAATACACATGGATGAGCTCAGAGTCAGACAGCCTCCTTGGTCACCTCAGGGCAAGGCCACACTGAGCCCATGGGGGGCCTAGACTGACTCTGGGCCGGTGTCCCTCTGCATCTGCCTCTTCTTGGAGACCCAGGGAGACCTCTTTAGAGCTGTCAAGGCCAGTGAGTATCCAATCCTTACCAACGTCGTTGAAAGAGACCAGAGCCTGGCAACTGAGGTTGGAGGCCAGCAGGCTGCAGGTGCCTGTGAGCTCTGAGCTGAGGCTGTGGGGGCGCCGGGCCACCAGTTGAATGCAGACCTGGGGGAGAGAGAGAGAAAAGAGAGGGAAAGTCTGGGTCGTCCCCAGCCCAGGCCCCCGAGTCACAGCTACCCAGAACCAAGTGCTCAACCAGGCAGGGGATGCAGGAGCAGCTTGCTCACCCCTCACCAGGGGTAGGAGTTGGTGCCAGGATCAGAGCTGAGGTTAGCGCCTGGGTCAGTGTGTGGGGTCACATGGAGTACCCGGTCAGAGCTGAGGTCAGCCCTGGAGATGGCNGCCCAGGCCTGACTCTGGGCCGGTGTCCCTCTGCATCTGCCTCTTCTTGGAGACCCAGGGAGACCTCTTTAGAGCTGTCAAGGCCAGTGAGTATCCAATCCTTACCAACGTCGTTGNCCTAGACTGACTCTGGGCCGGTGTCCCTCTGCATCTGCCTCTTCTTGGAGACCCAGGGAGACCTCTTTAGAGCTGTCAAGGCCAGTGAGAATCCAATCCTTACCAACGTCGTTGAAAGAGACCAGAGCCTGGCAACTGAGGTTGGAGGCCAGCAGGCTGCAGGTGCCTGTGAGCTCTGAGCTGAGGCTGTGGGGGCGCCGGGCCACCAGTTGAATGCAGACCTGGGGGAGAGAGAGAGAAAAGAGAGGGAAAGTCTGGGTCGTCCCCAGCCCAGGCCCCCGAGTCACAGCTACCCAGAACCAAGTGCTCAACCAGGCAGGGGATGCAGGAGCAGCTTGCTCACCCCTCACCAGGGGTAGGAGTTGGTGCCAGGATCAGAGCTGAGGTTAGCGCCTGGGTCAGTGTGTGGGGTCACATGGAGTACCCGGTCAGAGCTGAGGTCAGCCCTGGAGATGGCACCAGGGAGACAGCTGGGCTTGGCCCTGAGAATAGCATGTCAGCCAGGACAGGTTTTAATACCCGTTTGCCACAGGGGTCGGTTCCGGCCTCCCCGAGCCCCTCCAGACTCCCGCCCCATGTGCACTCACCAAAACACCATGGTGGTTCTGGACAACTGTCACTCCCCGGTGTCTCCCCTTTGGGATGGGGACATGCTCTGAAACAGTTAAGCCCAGGTAAGGTGACAGGGTCACAGGGAGGCAACCCTGGAGCCAAGGTCAGAGGGCACAGGGCCTGTGATGTCTGCTCTGTGCAGGCCTTGTGCCACGTGGTGATGGGGACCTAGAAATAACTGAGACCTGGCGCTTTTCCTCCAGGTGCGCAGGCGGGTAGAGAAGCACAAGGTGGTGGGTGTGTGCAGCAGGGGAAGGTGTGCAAGGTGCTGAGGGACAGGCCGTATGGAATGACGAACCTCCAGTCTCCAAGCCCCGTCTCTGGGGAATCTCACTGCCCCACAACCCCAGGAGCAGATGTGGTGGCCTCTTCCTCTCCCTTCCCAATGGGCCTCAGGAGACTGTCTCATTTTTGTTTTTTAATATATCTTTATTGATTCCAGAGAGAGGAAGGGAGAGGGAGAGAGAGAAACATCAGTGATGAGAGAGTCATTGATCAGCTGCCTCCTGCACGTTCACCACTGGGGGCTGAGCCCACAACCCGGGCATGTGTCCTGACCGGGAATCGAACCGCAATCTCCTGGATCCTAGGTTGATGCTCAACCGCTGAGCCACGCCAGCTGGGCAGGCTGTCTCATTTTTGAGACACCCTGTTCCCCTGTTGGACTGTGGCCCCTTCTGAGGTTGTTCAACACACTGGCTCTCCCAGAGACAAAGGGCTCTGTCTTGAACAGCTGAGGGGCCATCAGCGAATGTGTGCGTTGAGCTGGATTGGGTTGGATGGGTAGAGTTTGGTTAATAAGTGAATTTGGTCCATTCATTTCTTCATTCATTTATTCAAACAGTATTTATTAAGTACCTAATATGTGCCAGGTCCCATGCTAGACATTAGGGTGGCCACAGTCAGATTGGGAGGGGAGGGTTGGATTCCACTGGGGTGTGATGAGTTGGAATAGGTTAGGTCTGGGAACCAGGTGAAGTTGAGTTTGTGTCTGTGGTGCCACCAATACTATTTGTGTGACCTTAGTCATACTGGCAACCAGAGGACTTCTCTGAACTGGAGGTTCCTCTTCTGTCACATGGTATGGTTTTTGAGGATTAAAAGTGAATGAAGAGCCCGGCCGGGCGTGGCTCAGCGGTTGAGTGTTGACCTAGGATCCAGGTGATCGGGGTTCGATTCCCGGTCAGGGCACATGCCCGGGTTGCGGGCTCGATCAATGACTCTCTCATCATTGATGTTTCTATGTCCCTCTCCTTTCCTCTCTCTGAAATCAATAAAGATATATTTAAAAAAAAAAAAAAAAAGTGAATGAAGAAATAATTAGCATGGTGAGCACCCAGTACATTTTTAGGTATTATTTTTGTTGTTAGGATTGGGTCAGGAAAGGCAGGCTGGGGATCAGGGTTGGGCTGAGACAGGATAGAAAGTGAGCTGGGGATGGGGGTGGAGTTAGGGGGGAAGGGCTGGATTAGATGGGGCTGGGGTTGGAATGGTTTGGGCTAGATGAGGGGGACCCCTAGAAAGGGGTCCTGGGAGCATTCCCTGGAGCTGCGCCTGACTTACCTACAGGTTGGCAAAGGATCTCCTCCTGGGCAAGGGAACACTGATGCAGGGGCCCTGCTGTCCTATTGGTTCTAGCGCTGGTGACCAGGAGCCTGAGCGGGGGAGCAGACGGCGAAGTTGAGCTGGTTGCTGGTGCCCTTCTTCTCCCTGCCCTCCCATCACAGTCCTCCCATCCCAGGCCCGCGGGCCCGCAGGCTCCCCGTCTGGAAGACAACCGAGGGGGCGCAGGCCTGGGAAGGCAGGCAGCTCCCCGCCCAGTAGGGCAGACGCCGCATTAAGCGGAAGGCATGGCTCAGCGGCTACCTTGGCTCAGCTCCAGGCGGGAGATAGTTAAGTGCATCCCCCTCTGCCCTCTGACCGCCCTGCTGGAGAAGGGGTGATGTTGGTGGTGAATTCAGACTGCTCTTTGGTGGCAGTGGAGGGAACCGGAAAGCCACCAGTAGCAGAGTCTGCTATTCCGGGGCAGTGCTGGCTTTTCAGTGGCTGCTGGGGAAAGAGGGCTCCAGCTGGCCTCAGTGACAGTTTCCTGAGAAAAGCATGCTGGTGTCCCTATATGAGTCAGTCACAGCTGGAGGTCTGGGGGTGGGCGACTCAGCCTGATTAGGGCAGCCTCAGGCGATATGATGCCCGACAGCAAATTATGCCCTTCGCCCCGCCTACCCCAGCTCAGTCTAAACCTTCTCACTACCCATGATGCCCAGGGGGGCTGGGCTGCCTGAGACAGGGAGTGAGCTCCCCATCCTAGGGTGGTGAGGAAGGGGTACTGGGGAAAGGCCCTGAGGTTGGGCTTGGTAACAGCAAACCAAGCTCAAGGTCATCATGCTGAGGGCAGTGGGAAGCCACAGAGGACTTTGTAAAAGGCNAGAAATAATTAGCATGGTGAGCACCCAGTACATTTTTAGGTATTATTTTTGTTGTTAGGATTGGGTCAGGAAAGGCAGGCTGGGGATCAGGGTTGGGCTGAGACAGGATAGAAAGTGAGCTGGGGATGGGGGTGGAGTTAGGGGGGAAGGGCTGGATTAGATGGGGCTGGGGTTGGAATGGTTTGGGCTAGATGAGGGGGACCCCTAGAAAGGGGTCCTGGGAGCATTCCCTGGAGCTGCGCCTGACTTACCTACAGGTTGGCAAAGGATCTCCTCCTGGGCAAGGGAACACTGATGCAGGGGCCCTGCTGTCCTATTGGTTCTAGCGCTGGTGACCAGGAGCCTGAGCGGGGGAGCAGACGGCGAAGTTGAGCTGGTTGCTGGTGCCCTTCTTCTCCCTGCCCTCCCATCACAGTCCTCCCATCCCAGGCCCGCGGGCCCGCAGGCTCCCCGTCTGGAAGACAACCGAGGGGGCGCAGGCCTGGGAAGGCAGGCAGCTCCCCGCCCAGTAGGGCAGACGCCGCATTAAGCGGAAGGCATGGCTCAGCGGCTACCTTGGCTCAGCTCCAGGCGGGAGATAGTTAAGTGCATCCCCCTCTGCCCTCTGACTGCCCTGCTGGAGAAGGGGTGATGTTGGTGGTGAATTCAGACTGCTCTTTGGTGGCAGTGGAGGGAACCGGAAAGCCACCAGTAGCAGAGTCTGCTATTCCGGGGCAGTGCTGGCTTTTCAGTGGCTGCTGGGGAAAGAGGGCTCCAGCTGGCCTCAGTGACAGTTTCCTGAGAAAAGCATGCTGGTGTCCCTATATGAGTCAGTCACAGCTGGAGGTCTGGGGGTGGGCGACTCAGCCTGATTAGGGCAGCCTCAGGCGATATGATGCCCGACAGCAAATTATGCCCTTCGCCCCGCCTACCCCAGCTCAGTCTAAACCTTCTCACTACCCATGATGCCCAGGGGGGCTGGGCTGCCTGAGACAGGGAGTGAGCTCCCCATCCTAGGGTGGTGAGGAAGGGGTACTGGGGAAAGGCCCTGAGGTTGGGCTTGGTAACAGCAAACCAAGCTCAAGGTCATCATGCTGAGGGCAGTGGGAAGCCACAGAGGACTTTGTAAAAGGCAAGAACATAATTAGTCTATGGTTTGAAAGGTCATATGAGGCTATAGTGGGTTGGGAGTGGGGCCAGGAATGAGGTCTGTCTACTTCCTCACTGTCTACTTCCCATCACTCTATATCTTTGAAAATTATAAAATACATCCTTCACGTATCTCCATGGTTTACATAAAAATAATCACATCTGCACCAGCGTGTGTGCCCTGCCAGCTTAACCCACCCCAAGCTGACTCCCACCCAAGGTCACCAGTGGTCCCCACACTGCCAGATCCAACGGACGCCTTTCTGTCTTCGTCTTCCTCAACCTCTCAGCAGCCCTGGATGTAAGTGACAGTCTCCTCCTTGAAACAATTTATTCTTGATCTCCTATCTCTGTCATTACTCCTCAGACTCCTTCGCTGGTTCCTTCACTGTCTGACTTCTAAATGGAGTCCTGAGGCTTGGTCTTGTCTCCTTGCCAGCACACTCTCCCTAGTGTCCCCCTGCAGCCCCATGGCTTCAGTCCACCTACAGATGCTGAGATTCCCCCTCTACGCCTGCAGCCCTCGCATCCCTCCACCAGAAGTAAGACTAGCCCAGCCGTTGGAAGCAGAATAATGCGCCCCCCCCCCACTCGTCCTAATCTCCAGAACATGTGACTGTGCTACCTTTCAGGGTCAAAGTGGTTTTGTGGGCTTGGTTAAGTTAAGGATTTTGATATGGGGAGATTATCCTGGATTTTTTTAATTTAAATTTTATTTTTCAATTACAGTTTACATTCAACATTATTGTGTATTAGTTTCAGGTGTACACCGTAGAGGTTGGACAATCAGGTGCTTTACACAATGACCCCCCGATATTTCAAGTACCCATACCTGGCACCACACATAGTTATTACAATATTATTGACTGTATTCCCTGTGTTGTACTTTTTACATCCCCAGGACTGTTTTGGAACTACCTATTTGCATTTCTTAATCCCTTCACCCTTCTCACCCAGCCTCCCCAACCCCTCCCCTCTGGCAACCATCAGTCTGTTCTCTGTATCTATGAGTCTGTTTCTGTTTTGTTTGTCCATTTATTCTGTTCTTTAGATTCCACATATAAGTGATATCATGTGGTATACTGGACTACTGAGTGGTCCCAGTGTAACCACAAGAGTCCTTAGAAGAGAGGAGCAGGAGGGTCAGAGTCAGAGAAAGATTTGAAGATGCTACACTGCTGGTTTTAAAGATGGAAGAAGGGTCCAAGAGCCAAGGGATGCAGGCGGCCTCTGGGAGCTGAAAAAGGCAAGGAAATAGATTCTTCCCTAAAGTCTCCAGGTGGAGCACAGCCCTGCTGAGACCCATTTTGGAGACTTCTGACCTCCAGAGCTGAAAGATAATAAATATGTATTGTTTTAAGCCACTAAATGTATTATCATTTGTTGCAGCAGCAATAGAAAACTAATACAATAACCAACTGCCCGTTGTCTCATAAGCATCTCAAACTTAAAATGTGCAAAGCAGAACACGTGGTCTTGGCCTCCTAAGCCTGCCCCCGTCCATCTTCCCCAGCCACATACGGCATCACCAACACTACATTCTACACCCCAAAGCCTGGGGACATCCTTGCCTNGTCTTCCCCAGCCACATACGGCACCACCAACACTACACTCTACACCCCAAAGCCTGGGGACATCCTTGCCTCTCCTTGTCACTCACCCCTCCATCAAATTCATCCATAAACCCTGCTGGTTCTTTCTCCAAATTATAGAGAGAGAGCATTTCTTTTTTTTATTTTAATCTATCAATATTACTAATTTATTTTAACAAACACCAGTCAGAATTTTTGGAAATGTGACATCTTCCCTGAACATTTAAGTGGAAAATTTTAAGTCCAGAAATAGTGTGCGCTTTGAAAACGAGCAAAGAGGAAATGGAAAACACGTGATGAGATGCTGAGATATGTTTTAAAACAAAAACAAATAAAAAATGGAGAGGCTGTTGCAGAAACCGGACAGAGTAAATAACCGACCAACCAAAAACCCGTGTTCGGTGGATCAGAATCGCAGCATCTGGCAGAGGCCGGGGCCGTGGGACTGGAGCCGGGAGCCGGGTGAGCTGCAGCACTGGAGCACATTCCTCCCCTCCCTTCCCCACCACCGCCCTGGCCCCATCACCTGGCCGGGTCTGTGGTAATGGCATCCTGTCACCTTTTGTTTTTCAAATCTACCCTGTGATTTACACCCCGTCACTCCCCTGCTTCAGCAGCTTCCATGCGCTTAGGAAGAGTCCCTGCCCCCGGCTGCAGCCCTCGGGGCCTTCGCATCCAGCCCTTCCTGCCTCCGAGACTCCCTCCCGCTCCTTCCCTCTCCAAGGCTCCTTCCCTCTCCAAGGCTCCTTCCCTCTCCAAGCCCCAGCCCCGCACTCGCTGGCTCCCGCTCCTAGACGGCCCCATGCCCCCAGCTCTTTCCATGCCCCCCGCTCCCCAAGGCTGGCTCACTCTCATTCCTAGGCCTCCTTTAACCGTCACCTCCTCGTGATCGCCTTCTCCAGCCAGCTCGGCCTCACCACCCAGTCGCTCTGCTTCATGTCACCCTCTTTTACTTCCTTCAGAGATGTCACCTCCGACAAGATCCTGCTTACATGCTTGTATCCGTCTCCCCCACCGGCCTGTAAGTTCCCCAAGGATCTTGTCCATCTTGTTTGCTGTTAATCCCAGGGCCCGGCACAGAGCAAGGGCTCAGTAAGTGTTTGTCGAGTGAAGACTAAATGACAGCCCAGGCAGCAGGTGAGGGGACTGATCTTGGGCAGGCTGAGGGCTGGAGAGCCCGTGCAGCTGAACTCTGCAGGCAATGCAGCTGAGCCCCCAAATTAGGTCACCTGTTCCACAGCCCTGCCTTCCTCCCTAGCACCCCACCCTACCCCAGCCTCAGCCCTGGCCCCAGCACCTCAGAGCTGGGCTCTGCCCCAGACCAGGCTTGGTGGGGTAGGTGCGGGCCCGGAATAGCCCCCGCTCTCCTTCCTCCTGCAGGCCTGGGCCCAAGCTCTTCCCTCTGCCTGCTGCGCCCTTCCCTTCCCTTCCTCTTCCTGCTGAGCAGTCATCCAAACACCGGCTCCTTGGGAAGCCCCAAAAGAAGGAGCAACCCGACCCCTCCAAGCCGTCCAGGTAGCACCCACCCCCACCCCGGCTTTAGTTCCCACCGAGACTGGGAGTTTGCAGAGACCACCAGGCACACCCGCGCAGGCTGCGCCCTGCAGAAGCCCAGGCCGCCATTCACATCTGTCCCTCAACGCTGCGGCCTGGGGCTCCGCCTGAGCTGCCTCTCTGCCACCTCTTATCACCCGCCACGGTGGGTAGTCTCTGGATCTCCAGGTTTGTTGGCTGAGCACCTGAAACACTAACTAAACTATAACTAAACCCACCATCAGCTGACAGCCCGTCTGATCGATTCACCCAACTCTAACCTGTTTTTGTTCTCAGTCTACCCCCCCCCCAAGTCCTGCCTTACGATCCACTCCATGCCCCCCTGTGGCAGCCAGGCCCAAGATGCTGCCAGCCCTGGGTTTTAGGGAGACACGGAGGGACATGTCGTCCCTGGGGCGTCAGCCTCGCACGGAGGCTTGCTCCTGTCTCTGTGGCCTGCTGCCCAACAGAGCACTTCCTGCCCTGGCAGCAGGCGTGTGGTCCCCGTCATCTGTGGCAGGAACCCAGGAGCACCCCCCACCACATCCTCCCGTGAGCCCCCCTCCGCTTCAGCAGGTGTTCGGGGAGCTTTTCCTGAGCCCCAGTTCTTGGTGGGCTCAGAGCCTTCTGTTCTGGGGGCTTCAAACTCCCCTCCTCCGTCGTGGCCTTTCAGCTCCACTTCTGAGGGAGGGCGCCCTAAGTCTACAGGCCTGGAGCTGGGGAGGGTCCCGCTGAGGGGACTGAGCAGGGTGGGAGGGGACTGAGCGGAAGGTGGTCACAAATCACTCAGACTGAAACCCGGCCTTGCGTGCTGCGGAGCAATGAGAACGCTCACTCACTCACGCACTGCGAACCCAGCGCGTAAGGCGGGATCCAGCAACCCCACCGTTTGCTCGGCACATGCCCCAGAGAGGGACGTGCCCCAGTCCATCCCAAGAAAGGGCACGGCCCTGCTATTCCCAGGGCCCAAGGAAACTGCCCAAATGCCCTCATCAGCACTGTCCACACCGTGGAAAACTCTAGCAACGAGAATGAACACCACAGCCTCAGGCAAGCCCACGGGTGAAATTCACAGACTATGTTGAGGGAGAGAAGCCGAACACAACAGTGCGCCTACTGTATGCCTCGTTTATAACACTCTCAAGGACAGGCAGAACTGACCCCTGGAGCTGGCAGGCGGAGCAGGGGTGGCTCTTGGCAGGGGCTGGGCCTGGCCCTGAGCGACCAGGCCGGAGGGCTCCTGCGTGGCTGGCGATGTCCTGCTCTGGGCCTGGGCACTGCCTACACAGGTGGCTCGCTTCGTGAACATTCACTGAGCTGCTTATGATGCGTGCATTTTTCTGTATGACACAGTTCAGTAAAGTTTCACCAAAGCAGAAGAAAAACAACACACAGAGACCTTTAATTCAAATTGCTGCAGCCAAAAAGTCCTAATGACCTTCTT